TAACTTCTGGCAGCGACACAATATCTTTCATATAATCAAGTGATGATTTATAATGAGTTTTGTTTTGAGGCAGCACAAAAATGTATTCAATGTATGGTAGGTAGCTTAAATTACCATATTTTAGTTACATGACAGTATTAATTTAAATACATCACTATAATACTCAGACCAATATAAAAATGTCCATTATGGTCTGAGATGAACCAATGAAACATTAAGATGATTTATATAGTTTGCTTTTCGATAATGTCTTCCTTTTTTCCAATAATTCTCTCATTTCGTCTCAATTCTTTTATCAAATCGCAAATATACCAAGATCCGTATTTTTCCGTCATCATTTATAAAATCGCAATAATTACAACAAAAATACCACACAAACCCAAAGAATTGTCAAAATGTGTTAACCTCCAACTATACTAGCGCCGCCAAGCGGGAGCAACCGCATACATAGCTGCCATTTCAACAGGCTATAGTGGAAGACAGAAATAATAAAAATTATTAGGTTGTAATAGTTTATTTGTTATTTGGAGACATAAAATAATCTTTAAACTCATCACTCATCATTTAGAGACATAAAATAATCTTTATTTGTGCTAAAATATTTGGATTAGCATTATCTTCATTTTGATCCAAATTAGGAACTATTGTATTTTCATCTATTAAAAAATTATGCAACACAATGCAAGCCAAAGTTATAGTTTGAACTTTACTAGGAGCTAAATTTATGGTTGTTTGTAGAACCCGAAACCTATTGGCTGAAATGACAAATGCATTTTCCACAAGCCGCCTTGCTCTTGACAAACGATAATAAAATATTCTTTTCTCATATATCAAATTTTTTTGTTGGGTATGGTTTCATTACTTTTGTGGATAAAGCAAATACATCATCAGTCGCAATTATGTAGGGGATTTTCATAACTCGTCCATAAAGACTTCTTGTATTTGGAAAATTTAATCTATTTTCGGAAATAGCAGAGAACAATTTACTGTGATGGAAAACCCCTCCATCACTACTACGTCCATTTATACCAACATTAACATATGTAAATTTATATCTGGCATCTACCAATGCTAGTAAAACTATGGAATGATCACCTTTGTAATTATAATAATATGATCCTTCTATACAGGAGGGCGAAAATTAATATGCTTTCCGTCCATTTAGTAGTATTTGGTGTCTAAAAATGATTAACATCATTTATTGGATTTTAAACCACTTACTGTTAAATATCTTTCTTGTAAACGTTTATATATGACGGTGCATACTTCAGGTACGAATTTACTAATAGTAGATTCATGAATGCGGCTACAATGAACGATAGCTTTCACCAGTAGCAAGGAAACCAAGTGTGATCTGTAATCTATAAGAACATGATAAAATAGGTGATGTTAATTTCAATTGAAAAATTTGTTTGTACTTTCTGCGACCTGATATTGATTCTCTAAGGTGGGTATCAGTTTTGCTAATATCATTCTTTACCATATTGCACAAATATTCAGCTGTTCACTTGTGATATGCGTAAAAAAATTTTGTAAGCTTCAGGATCTCCGTTTTTCGGCTCTTGGTTTAGCATTTTTAATATATTATTGCTCCGAAAATCACTTCTGGATATCCATGATCTACTCCATAAACATTTTGGTTTCTTTTTATAGTTAACAAGTGTGCCTCTAGCATTGTCAAAAACGTTGAAGCTAGAGCTATCCCGAAATCGTCGAAATAAGTATCAATATCAATAAAAAATTTACCAAAAAAAAATAAAATCATGTCATCAAATCACATGATCGCATTTTCAGCCGCCATTATGACAGAAATTGGCGCATTTCTTGTACAAGAAACTGCAGTGGACACAAATTCTTGTATCGTTTCTGATATAAGAACTATACGCTTGTATGACACTATCCATTTTTTGTTATATCAGAAACTATGTAAGAAATGATACAAGAAAATGCATACGGCCTTAAGATCAATGAACTGATTAGAATTATTTGGATCGATTTCACATAATAATTATATCAAACAAGCGTGTAAGATATTTTTCCCAACGAATCTAATATTGTCTGCTAAAAATCTTAAGCGCTGAAATGCCAAAATGTATTATTTACTCAGGTATTATCAGAACATGTCACACTCATTGTTGAGTCAATTTATTCACTACTTTTACTGCAAAAGTGTATCCTGTATATCATATGAAAATATATTTCTTAATCTACTATTATAGTACATCCACTAATAATTTTCCAACATAAACATGCCTCAATCTGGTATCAAAGAGACCGCCTTTCAAATCAAGGTTGTCAGACATATTTCCTAAAATTCCTAAGGTTATATTTAAAAAATATTCTCTATTCGTTATTATTCAATTGCTGGTCAACGAACGACACTCTTAAAAAATAATATGAATATATTCTCAAACTACTAGGTACTAATATTTCCATCACGCATAACTTAATCACAAATACAGGGTCATTACAAGAAGAGATTAAACGTAGATGTGATCTAGCAAAAGTTGCCACAGCAAAAATGACCAAAATATGGAAGGAATGTCAAATTTCAAGAGCGATAAAGATGAGGTTGATCAACTGCTTAATATTCCCAATACTGACCTACGGATGTGAATCTTGGACTCTGAGACAATCGGAGAGAAGAAAGATAGACGCCACTGAAATGTTCTGTTGGAGACGAATGTTACGAATTCCTTGGACAGACCGTAGAACAAATAATTCAATTTTAAGAGAGCTAAAAGTTAGCCTACGACTCTCTAGCAAAGTCCATTTCCAATAATTAAAATATTTTGGGCATGTTATGAGATTTAGCATGAATTTTAGAGTGGAGGCCTAGACACGATGCTTATCGTAGTTGAGGACGTCCTCCAACAAGGTGGTCGGACGATTTAAAGCGCATCCAGTCTAACTGGATTCAAGTTGCTCAGATGCAATAGAATTATTTACGGGAGGCCTATGTTCAGCAGTGGACGCAAAATGGCTAATGATGATGATGAGAGCAAACACAGAAAACATGGAAAGACTCATAATACAAGGAAAGGTAGAAGGCCGAAGATCACGAGGAAGATCCCCAACAAGATGGATAGATCAAATTACAGGAATATGCCAAAGACCTATGCATGAATTAAAAGAAATGACCAGAGACAGAGATCTCTGGAGACGGACAATACACGACATCACGTCGATCACTACACTCCCCCTGTGGGGTCAGGATTGAAGAGAGAGAATATTTCCATGGACTCTTCACTAATGAATTAAAGCAACCGTGAACTTTGTATATATTAGTTATACTCTAAGTAATTTTCGAATATCGGCAACATTGTAGTCTGAAGAGAATTTGGACGTTCGGTCTATATCGACGTTGCCATGTTGGTGAATTTAGCGGTAATACTCTTATAGATATAATTATCGACTTTTAAGAAATCAGATAAACCCCCTCTGTGGCTCAGTGGTAAGAGCGCCTGCCTTTAAATCTAAAGGTCGTGAGTTCGAATCCCACCTGGGTGGAAATTTTCGTTTATTAAAAAAAAATTAATAAATGAAAATAATTTCTATCCTTGTGTGATCGGTACACACCGGAGGGACCGCAGACGTTCGGATACAATTAGCGTCTCTTAGCAAAGACAATGACGTCGACTTTGCTAAGTATCAAGACAATTACTCTACACACACACACACACACACACACACACACACTACACTTCAAATTGTAAGATTGGCGAATGGATTTAGTGTCCGCAGTCATTTAAACACAAACAAACAACAACAAGAAATCAGACAACTTTTAAGAATACAAGTTCTCAAAAACGGTTTCAAGAATTGTATTATTTTTTTCCAAATTTCATTGATTTTATACCTTACCCGGAAACATGAAAAATTGCAGATATATTAATATGGTATTAAAGTTACATTCACTAATTTTAAACTCATGCATTATGGCAACAGCGAAGCGCAAAGCCATAAATAGTAATGAACAGCTGTTTGTCTCGCTATGTGACACCCTAAAATATTTCATTTTGCAACCAGCTATCAGAGGCGGAGGCTTATTATAACGTAAGTAATATTATATTTTTGTAGGATGGCATTTTGGAGACCATTTGATATGAATGATCAGGATGCATCAACTTGTGTTATTGGGTAGGATTGACACTGCTGCAAAAGACGTTATTCAACGAACAGTTTACAATTTTTACAACAGTTTACAACGGCTGGGTTGACAACACAAACAAGTGTGCGTTAAATACACCGTGTTCACGAGGAAAACGTGTTATTATTCTTCATGCCGGAAGCAAAGATGGTTTTGTATCTAATGTATTGCTATTGTCTTCCAAAAATATATCAAGGTCTTCTGCCGATTATCACGAAGATGTGACAGCTGATTTATTTGAAAAGTGGTTTGATGAACAACTCTTGCCCAATATTCTGCCGAATTCAGTGATTGTTATGGATAATGCGTCGTATCCGCATATTAAATAAAATACCTAATATCAACACGAAAAAGGACGATATTTTAAAATTTATGCAACTTAAAAACATCACTGTTCCTAAAAAGATTCCAGTAAAGAAAGAATTAATTAGAATGATCAAAAGATCAAAGATACTCTTGAATCTCAAAAATACTCATTTACATATTTTTCAAGCCTCGAAAATGCATATAGGTATCGCATTTTTCGGATTTTAAATCGCCTATATCTCCAAAACTATTAACTTTTGAGAAAAATGACATATGACAATTTCTGCCCAAAAATTGAGAAATTTTCCTGAATATAATTATGTAAAAATTAATAAAAATTATATGATTTTTCTTGAAATATGCGTTTGATGAACTGATCCCTTTTCTTAATTTCCACGCCAATGGTCGGCATTGGCATCACCAAGCCGACGCTTGGCAAACTGACATTGGAAAAAGTATACCTTCCAGCTTAAATTTGATCAAAACGTTTTTAAGTATTCCAAACGTTAGTAAATATATCCAACAGTGTTTTTTTGCTTTATTTAAAGTTTATCAAGTACAATTATGAAAGTTTTTATAAATTATATCTCGAAGAAAAATACTTAAAACAAATTCCCCACTTTTAAGGTTTCGCTCCAGTGTGTGATCTCATATGACGCTTTACAGCTGCTGCCTAATTAAATTTCTTAAAACAAATTTTACAGTTGCACGGCTTTTATCCAGTATAAGATTTTAAATGCTATTTCAAATTAACTACATCAGAAAACCGATTAAACTAAACTTTACATGTGTAAGGTTTTTCGCTAGTGTGCACTCTCACATGTGTTATCAAATCAGCGGCTCCAAAAAACAAATTTCAGCTTGTAAAGCTTTTTTTGCTTGTCTTCAGTGTGCATTCTTAAGTGTTTTTTCCAAATGCTTGCACCAGTGAATTGCTTAAAACAAATTTCACACGTCAAAGGCTTTTCTTCAGTGTGCATTTTCAAGTGCCCTCAAATCACATGCTTGACTGAATTGCTTATAACAAATTTCACACCTGTAAGGCTTTTCTCCGACATGAGTTCCCAAACGACATATCAAATGATCATTACCAAAAAACTTGCCTAAACCAAATTTCACATTCGTAAGACTTTTCTCCAGTGAGTTTTGATATGATGTTTAAAATTGCCAGCTCCACGCAATTCCTTAAAAAAATTTCACACTTTTAAGGCTTTTCTCCAGTGAGTATTCTTAAGTGTCTTTTCCAACTTTCCACTGCACTAAATTGCTTAAAACAAATTTTACACCTGTAAGACTTTTTTCCAGTGTGTATTCTTAAGTGTCTTTTAAAACCGCTTGCTACACTAAATTGCTCAAAACAAATTTCACACTTGTAAAGCTTTTCTCTACTGTGCATTCTTAAGTGTATTTTCAAATTGCCTGATACATTAAATTGCTTAAAACAAATCTCACACTTGTAAGGCTTTTCTCCAGTGTGTATTCTTAAGTGTTTCTTCAAATCACTTGCTTCATTAAATTGCTTCAAACAAATTTCGCACTTTTAGGGATTTTCTATAGTGTGTATTCTTAAGTGGTTTTTCAAACTGATTGCATCACTAAATTGCTTAAAACAAATTTCACACTTTTAAGGCTTTTCTCCAGTGTGTATTCTTAAGTGTTTTTTCAAACTGCTTGCAACACGAAATTGCTTAAAACAAATTTCACACTTGTAAGGCTTTTCGCCAGTGTGTATTCTTAAGTGTTTTTTCAAACTGCTTGCATCACTAAATTGCTTAAAACAAATTTCACACTTGTAAGGCTTTTCTCCAGTGTGTATTCTTAAGTGTTTCTTCAAATCACTTGCTTCATTAAATTGCTTCAAACAAATTTCGCACTTGTAACGTTTTTCTCCAGTGTGTATTCTTAAGTGTTTCTTCAAATCATTTGCTTCATTAAATTGCTTCAAACAAATTTCGCACTTGTAAGGCTTTTCTCCAGTGTGTATTCTTAAGTGGTGTTTCAAACCACTTGCTGCAGTAAATAGTTTAAAACAAATTTCACACTTGTAAGGCTTTTCCCCAGTGTGTATTCTTAAGTGTATTTTTAAATGGCCTACTTCATTAAATTGTTTAAAACAAATTTCACACTCGTAAGGCTTTTCTCCAGTGTGCACTCTTAAGTGTCTTTTCAAACTGCTTGCATCACTAAATTGCTTAAAACAAATTTCGCACTTGTAAGGCTTTTCTCCAGTGTGTATCCTTAAGTGGTTTTTCAAACCACTTGCTATAGTAAATAGTTTAAAACAAATTTCGCACTTGTAAGGCTTTTCTCCAGTGTGTATTCTTAAGTGTTCTTTCAAACTGTTTGCAACACTAAATTGCTTAAAACAAATTTCGCACTTGTAAGGCTTTTCTCCAGTGTGTATTCTTAAGTGGTTTTTCAAACCACTTGCTACAGTAAATAGTTTAAAACAAATTTCGCACTTGTAAGGCTTTTCTCCAGTGTGTATTCTTAAGTGGTTTTTCAAACCACTTGCTACAGTAAATAGTTTAAAACAAATTTCACACTTGTAAGGTTTTTCTCCAGTGTGAGTTGTGATATGTCGTTTCAAATTTCTAGCTTCACTAAATTCCTTAGAACAAATGTCACACTTGTATTTTTTTCCAGTGTGAATTTTTATATGTTTGCTTAAATATCTTTTATGTCCTAGCTGCTTAGTACAAATTCCACATTTTTTTTCTTCGCCTGGTTGAACCACACATTCTTTGTTACATGTATGTGGAGATGTTGTTTCCATAATTTCCAATATATTCTCTTCTCTGAGAAAGCCTAAAATAAAAAAAAGGTTTAATACAACACAAAAGAAAAAACTCGTGTCGATTAGCATAACATACATTTTATGATTCCTAAAATATCAATTGAAATGAAATTTTGAAAAATAATTTTACCCGCGTGTTGTAAAAACATTTGATATAATTTTAGTTTATTTTTCGTTCTCGCAAATATTAGCTTGGATCTTATGTGACAGACTGTACTTTTTGCCAGCAGATTATTTGTGTCGTAAATTCCTTATAAGGACCTTGGATTGTAACTATTTGACGCCAGCATGTCGACAGTTTTAGATAAAAATTCAAGCCAAAGCTGTCGCAAATGTGATTTGTGTCTCAAGTTGTGCGGTAGTCGCCTGTACCTAAGCGTCCTAAGCCTTCTCTTCGCCTCCAAAATGCAGTGAAATGTGCATTTGTTTTTGCTATGTTTCGCGCGCCCCAAAAACGCCGGTATAATAATGAACAATGTGGTAAAGCAAACTCTTTAATTAGTAATAGTGGATTTGTAAATATTCTCTAGTTATTAAATGTGTAGGTTCGATTAATTACGCTTTATTTTATCTAAGTACAACCCCTATTAAACCAAACACATAAAGAACCATCACCGTGAAGTTTGATTGCATATATCGAAGGGAACTCTTTTACAATTCATGGTCCTAAAATATTTGGTACTGTACCCACCAGGGAAAGGAATTTAATAAGCTTTCCCAAAACAATTGGTGAAAATCAAGCAAATTTCCACCACGGTGAATGGTTTTTCTCTTAAGCACATCCCTGTGTACTATTAAAGCATGACTTTTAGACAACTATCTGAGACATATTTAACAATAGAAAAAGATTTTACTATCTGTATAGAAATTTCCCAGGTAAAAGGTTTTTATATTCTAATTATATTTAGTGACGACAGTGGCTCAGAGGCTATGATATTGGCTTGCCAAGCCAGAGGGCACTGTACTATCATATTGTTTTTTTCATTTAGTGCAATCAATTTCCCATTTAGTGCACGTAAGCAGTCAATTCTGGTTAAATAAGTGGTTGCTAAGTCACATTAGGAGCCGTTGTGCGACCTGACAATCCTAACATCAGACCTTAGCAACAGACAGCTTTCAAAAGAAAAAAAACGGCGCGTGGCATTTGGACAGTGTCGACAGAAGTGAATTCTAATGCCCATGACGTTCTGGAACGTCATTTGTACATTTAAATTATTATGTGTGTAGATAGGCCGGCATGTAACGAATTGCCTTTATACTCCCATGGGCGTGTGAATATAGTCTTAAATTAATTAATTATAAACTTGATTTCGATTTTGGGATTTTAAAAGACATGATAGCAAGGCGTCACAAACAGGTGCACAAGAAGGCAATTTTCCAATAATTAACTGCAATTAATATCGAAAAAAAAAACAAATATTTATTATTTCCTGTTTTGTTTAAATAAAGAAATTGCAGAATCCATAAAGTAATATAATAAAAAATCATGAATGTGTTGCTTGTGTGAGTCCATATCAAATAGGTAAAGAAATAATAATAAGACTTACTCACAATCAATTTAATTTAACAATCAGACGACCGGTTTCGCTTTCTACAATTTGCAAAGCATCTTCAGGTCTAGATACAAAGTTAAACTAATGATGCCGGTACTCTATTAATTGATGGATGGTAGGTCATGGTTGCAAAAATCATGTATTGTTGATTGGAGAACTTTAATGTGCTATTGCAGTTGTTTTGACAATAAACGGGAAGTTCTTGAGGAGAACAGATTTGATCCAATGAATTAGAGATAAATATATTGTGGTTGTTTGTCAAATGAAAGTGATGTTCTTTACTATTGTATTATCTAAATTATTTACACTTATATCAGAGATATATTTTTGGAGTGTGTGTTATTTATTGAGTATTTATGTTATGAAGGAGACAGTTTTATGACAATGAATAAGAGTAGCTGTACCGATTGTGTGGTTGTGCAATTATTTTGACTTGTAATTATCAAGTCTATTGGCAAAATTAATCAATTATTGTAAAGTCAAGTATATAAAAAGTATATAAAATTATTACAAATTAAGACAATCAGGGACAAATTAAACACACATTAACAGGAACAGAAACACTAAATGACGGGACAAACATTGAATTTAAAACTTAAACTTGGAGAATGGAAGAAACTGCAAGCACTACATCTCAGTGTTGGAAGTAATGAGTTTTTTTTTATATTTAATCTATTGAATAATATGATAAATAATTGATAAATAATTGATAAAAAAACTCATTACTTCCAACACTGAGATGTAGTGCTTGCAGTTTCTTCCATTCCCCAAGTTTAAGTTTTAAATTCAATGTTTGTCCCGTCATTTAGTGTTTCTGTTCCTGTTAATGTGTGTTTAATTTGTCCCTGATTGTCTTAATTTGTAATAATTTTATATACTTTTTATATACTTGACTTTACAACAATTGATTAATTTTGAAAATAGACTTGATAATTACAAGTCAAAATAATTGCACAACCACACAATCGGTACAGCTACTCTTATTCATTGTCATAAAACTGTCTCCTTCATAATATAAATACTCAATAAATAACACACACTCCAAAAATATATCTCTGATATAAGTGTAAATAATTTAGATAATACAATAGTAAAGAACATCACTTTCATTTGACAAACAACCACAATATACCTATCTCTAATTCATTGGATCAAATCTGTTCTCCTCAAGAACTTCCCGTTTATTGTCAAAACAACTGCAATAGCACATTAAAGTTCTCCAATCAACAATACATGATTTTTGCAACCATGACCTACCATCCATCAATTAATAGAGTACCGGCATCATTAGTTTAACTTTGTATCTAGACCTGAAGATGCTTTGCAAATTGTAGAAAGCGAAACCGGTCGTCTGATTGTTAAATTAAATTGATTGTGAGTAAGTCTTATTATTATTTCTTTACCTATTTAATATAATAAAATGTAATTTTTAAAAACTTTCTCTCTGTATGTTTGAAGCATACAACATACACATTATAAGAACATGGCAACACTGCAAACACCAATATTACATTCTGTCATCTGTCATGTCAACTTTATTTCAATTAGAATTTGAGGCTGGCTATTTTCATGTAGATCTATTATGATTTAAATGGTGTCTATGTTTTGTTTTATTCACATAATTTTGTTTTTGTTTATTAGTTTCAATTGTCAAATCTGTTCCAAATATTGTTTATTTGTACAGTAGTTCAATAAACTATATCGTGTTGTTGTGTGAATATTGCAATGGATCAACCAAGTACGTCAACCCCTGATATGGATAGTTATAAAAAGTCTAAAAAGTTATATTATATAAGCAATTTTCAGCAAAAAGTAAATTCAATTGGATGATGAATGGATAGAAGCCCCTATGGATAAGAGAAATATCAATTTTTCAAAAACTGAGATTCCTTTGAACATTGACCGAATAGATGACCCCATCTCCTATTTCAATTTATTAGTAACTGCTCAATTATACGATAAGCTTGTGTCTAAAACCAACAATTATACAGAGGAATTATTTCTAAAAGGTGTGGATGAAAATTCAAGAATAACCCGATGGAATCCAGTTTCCAAAGACGAACTGAAAGTGTTTCTTGGATTATTACTTCACATGGGTAATATACGGCTACCTCGAATAGAAGACTATTGGAAGACCAATTATCTCTATAATATCCCACTATTTCGAAGCTACATGTCACGTAATAGATTTCAGATTATTTTGCGTTGTCTCCATTTTGCGGATAATTCTAAAGATGGAGAACCAGTACCAATGGACCGTATCTATAAAGTAAGACCACTTTTAAACTACTTTAATAATCGCATGGAAAACGTTTATTATCCAGAAAGAAACTTATGCATCGATGAAGCTATGGTATTATGGAGAGGTCGATTACAGTTTCGCCAATATGTAAAAAATAAACGACACAAATATGGTGTGAAAGTATATATGGTTTGTGAACCCCAAGGATTGGTTAAAAAACTACTATTATATAGTGGAGCTAAAGATCCTGGTATTGGAGGTCGAGGCCATGCTGCTAAAGTTGTTCTTAAGTTGATGAAAAATAAACTTAATAAAGGGCACGCATTATATACTGATAATTTTTACACTAGTGTTCAGTTAGCGCGTGACCTGTTAGCTTCTAATACATATATAACTGGAACATGTAGGAGTGATAAAAAAGGTATACCCAGAGAATTCATAAATAAGCGAATTGTACAAGGTGAGTTAATATCGAGATACTCGATATAAGATAAAAGAGAGATTTTTATGATTTCAACAGAATACAAAGGGGAATTATGTGTAGTATAAAATAGAAGAGGGCAGATGACAGTGAAACCCAAAGTTGTTATCGAGTACAATAAGTACATGGGTGGAGTTGACAGAGTCTCCCAACTGTTTTCGTACTACTCATTTGAACGCAAAACCTTAAGATGGAACCAAAAAATAGGAATTTACATAATTGAATTGCTTATGGTCAATTCCCATTTATTATTTGAATCATATCAGATGAAAAAAAAATCACTGTATAACTACCGAATAAAAATTATTGAATATTTATTATCCCATAAGATTGCTCAAACGCCATCGCCTCAACTAGTGGGTAACATGCCTGTTCTGCCGGGTCCAGACAAAACAAAAACATTCATGTTTCGCGACAAAGTGGCGACAAATCGAAAACATTTGTTGAGACATTTCTGAACAATTTTGTTTTGTTTGCAAATTTGAAAACTTTTTCAGGTCCCGTCTCAGGTTGGTAAAGATCAAAAAGTCCGTGTTTTGTCTGTGTATTTGACAAGTTGTCGGCGTAGTGTGGACGCGTGCCAAAACGAGTTAAGCAGTAGGAGAAATAGAATGTACAATTTTTATCAAAATTAAGTGTATTTTTCTGTTACTTAGTCTCAACAAAAATGTTCACTCAACTCCATCCAACTCCAACCCACAACATTTGTACTCAAATCCACCCAGCACTGACACA